CACCTCTCTTTGCACCTCACTGAGAAGTCCTATCTGTTCAATGAAGCTGCTAAACTGTATGATTTTTCTGACCTTAAGGTTCAGAATTTAATCCTTTGTGCAACTGGGACTCCCCCCAAAACAGAAATGCCACCCCAACACAAAGCCTTTTCCTGTCACTTGGGCCATGGCACCCAAACAAAGAGTCAGGTCTTCCCTAACAGCCAGAGCCTACAGCAAGTGGAGAGACCCAGTGACACAGAGGCCACAGTTTGTTGCTAACTATCTGGGGCCAGGTGACCAGCAGAGTTTGTAAAACACACTCTAGCACCACATTACTGTGAACTCCACAGGCCTCCTCCTCTGACCAGGCTCCCGAGGCTCCCGAGGCTCCCCAGGTCTGCCTGGGACTCAGTCCCACAGAGCCCTGTCTGGTAACCCTCCCCCCACAGCAGAGAGAGGCCTCTACAGAGCAGGGGGCCCCAGATTATTGATATTTATAGAGCCCTCTGAAGCAGCTGCTTACATATGCAAAGGAGACACATTCCTTGAGCTACAGTTTACACTTTACTGGTCTCTTTCTCGAAATTCGAAATACAAAGTTAGTTGGCAGTCTCTGAGGGCCTCCCACTTTTTTTTTTTTCTTTCCCCTTTTCAGAAATGAAATGGGCATGTGACAGGGAGAGGGCTCCATATTCAATTCTCAGAGAGACATCAGACTGCAGCCACCCAAGGGATATGTAGATTTGGAAGGGTCTGTATGCCCCCCCCCCCACAAGAGACTGAGATACTAGAGGGAGGGAGAGGGGTGCTGTGGCTTAGGCAGGAACCTGGGCTTGTGCCCTGAGGAAACTCAGAACTAGGTACAGGCTTGGCAAGACTTTGTGGGATAACTGTGCCCACCCAGTTCCAGCATCCCTCCACAACCTCCAGCAAGGGCTTAGAGACCCAGTCAGCAGGTATTCATTATTAAAAGCAAAAAAGAAGGGTCTGGATTTTCCAGTTTGGGTTTGGTATGCCCTGGTTGCCCCTAAACCCTGTGCTCTCAGAACTCCTGGAAGCTGCCGACCGAAGCCCTCCCAGGCAGTATCTCCCAGGAGACCCCAAGAGGCACTGGACCCAACAGTGCCTGTCCAGTCACAGGGCACGCTGCTCCTCAGGGCACCCAGCACCTTCTTCTATATTGGTGGGAACTTCCCTAGAGAGGCCACAGGCAAACTTTGGGGGATGCCCTAGAGTCCTACAAGCCCCTCTATCCAGCATCCAGCTTCTCCTCCCAAGAACCTAAGGAGGAAGGGTGGCTTCTCCAGCTCCACTCTCCCAGCAGCCAGCTCAGAGGGAGTACAGAGCGGGATTCCGGTGCACCGGAGGTGCTGCTGTCTCTTTAAGAGAGAGGAGGGAAGGCACAGTGTCAACCCTTGAGCACCCAGAGCAGCCCGCCCAGCTCTATCGGAACATTATCAATGAAACCACACTCTGGGCCCAGATTGGTTTCCACCTCCAGAGGGAAGGGGTAGCACTGGGGGGTTTGGGACCCTGGATCCTTGGAGGGCCCTCTTTTTAGTTGAAGGACCTACCCTTTATGTATTTAAAGGCATTCTAGCGGCTCTCCCTCAGCCCCTCACAAATAAACAAACCCTGCCTCCTCCCCTAACCCAGATGGCAACACTGGGGACTGCCTAAACCCAGGCCACCAGGGCTCAGAGAGGGGCCCGCAGGGGTGTCAGTGGTGGGGAAGCCTCTGGGTGGTCCCTAGGGGTACATGCAGTAGCCAAGGACAGCACATTTGGTAAATTATAGCTTGTCTCCTAGCAACAGACAACACATTTAGCTCCACGTGACTCTACCCTCAGGAGGGGGCAAAAAAAAAAATAGGGTTGTGGGGGGTCCCCAACACTACAAGAGGGGCTCTGGGAGGGAAAGGAGTCATAGTGACAGGGCCTGCCCCCCCCCCCCCCCCGCGGTAGGTTGTCCTAAGCAGGCCTCCACTCACCTTTAGTGTCCAGCTCCACGTGGATGATATTGCCCATGACTGAAGTGCTATGCAGATGCTGAACAGCCTCCTTGGCTCCCTTGACCGTCGCAAAGACCACCTTGGCAATGCCCAAGTGCTTCTTGGTCTTAGGGTTGTACAAAATCTCCACCTCCTCCACCTCCCCATACTTCTTACACATGTCCCTCAGGAAGTTTTCTCGGATGTTATCATTCAGCTTGGCAAATGTCACCTGCTTCGGAGGCACCGGGCCCACGTAGAACTCATCGATCTGGCAGGTACGAGGGGGAAGGGAGTTTGGAGAACATTGAAACCGAAGGGAAACACAACATTCCCCACTCGCATGCCCGTGGAAAACAATGAAAGGTAAAAAAAATATATATATATATATATTTTTTTTTGGAAAAAAAAAATGCACGCGGGCGGGCCCGGGAAGCGGAGGATTAAATCGTTTGGAACGTGGAAGTCCTCTGGGTTCGAAAGGAAAGGGGAAAAAGAAACAGTTTCTCTTTCCCCACCCCCCATGCCGGCCTCCTCTCCCTGCTGCGGGGTCAGGGGCGAACCCTGGGTCTAGGAAGTTGTCCCCCTTAAGCCACAAGGCTGAGAAGGGGGGCGGGTCCCGGGGTAGAGCCGCCGGGCTGGCAGGAGCCAGGTGGGGACCCGAAGCCCCCAGCTGGGCCGGCAGGACACTGTATCAGATCCTGGATTACAGTTTCACTGAGTGTTATTCTGTTTACAGTAGCCCAGAGGGATCACCCCTCTCGCTGACATCTCCCCCTCCCCGCCAAAACTTCCCCGGCCGTGGACGGCGGGAACTCAGAATCGGGCTGGGCTCGGTCAGGACTGGCGTTATTTTCGAACTCGGGGAGTGTGTGTGTGGGGGGGAAGACCGTGGGGTCGGGGGGAGGGGTCCTACCTTGAATTTGGGCACCGACAGCTCCAGCTCCTTGGTTTTGGTCCAGATCCCAACGACCCGGGGATCTTCGACAATTTCCACCGGGCGGTTGCTGGACATCTGTGGGGAGGCATGGGGGGGCGGGGCGGAATGGGAGGGCTGGTCCCACTCCCCAGGGGCAGGGGCAGACCCCCCTTCTCCAGGCACTTGTCAAACTCCAGGACTGGGGACCCGGCTGACAGTTGGCCCGGTGGTCGGAAGGGGGGGACCCTGGGCGGCTCGAACCCTTTCCCCCCCGCCCCGGGCTCGGCTGGGGGTGGGTGGGGGCGGCGGGGAGGCGCGCCGGCTACTCACCGCCAGGCTGAAATGCTGCCCATCGTAGCGGTACAGTTTATGATGCCCCTTTTTCAGAGCCGGGTCAATCATCAACTTGTAACTTCTCCAATGGTGGTTCCTCCTCTCGCCCGAAGGGCCGGGCTGCGGCGGGGGCTGCTGGTGGTGGTGGTGGGGGGGGTGACTGTTCTCCATGCCGTTAACCCAACCTGAAAACGAGCAAGTTGTTGTCGTCTCCGCCGCGGCGGCGGCCGCTTCTACACACACGCGAAAGAATCAGATCGTCCAGCCCCCACCCCCTCCCACCTTACCAGCGCGCCCCAAAAGGAGCTGTCTCGCTGGCTCCCCCCAAAATAAGAACAGAGCGAGAGAATAACCCTTCCGGGAGAATTAGGCGCCCGCCCGCTCGGCCA